CCACGGACGATATAAGATTCAATCAGATATAATTTGTATCTCACAATCACAACTCCTTGTGATTGACAAATTAAGAATATTTAAATCTACGAACTATATTATTTATTTAATTGTTTATTAATTAAATATTAGATCTGTCATTAAATTGCATTAATTATATATCAAAAATATTTATGTCCAAAGTTGATTGGACTTAAAACATAATACTTACAGAACTACCAGGGAAGACTGCCCGTGTGGAGCCTAACAATCTTGGATTCCCCGCAATGGGCTTGATCAGGTCGGATCACCTCTAGTGATCAGTTAGAAACTTGAAAATAATCTTATACTGGCACAAAAGATATTGGCATCTTTGGTATATATTAAATTAAATAAATTAGACATAATAACAGAAAGAGTACAAAACATATGAAATGTTTGTCCGGTATCTCATCTAAAGAAAGGTTTTAACACATCCTTTTTGACTAATGGAAAAGTTGGTGTATATAGCACCACTATAAGTAGCCATTTTGTATGAGTAATTAGTATTTGAGCTTGAAAGTGACGTTGTTTAGGTATCAAAATGTCTTTCTAGTGATGTTTAGTGTTAACTGCACTCGAGTTATTCTTATATTTGCACTTCTCATAAATTTGGAAAATTAAAATAAATTCTTTCAAACTTTTGACCTTCTTGCTTTCTGGTCTCAAACGTTTAAATTAAGACTAACATCGATAACTTACGCATTTTTTGCACAGTTGATCCTTTTGAATAAATTCAGTACAAAATTATTGTTAATTTGCAAGTGACCCACACTTTCTTTAAGGGATAAATAGTATAGGTAATCCCAAAGTTTGATAAAATTAGCGATCTTGTCCCCAACCTTCAAGAGATTAAAAGTAAATACATCTTATAATATGTTTCTAAAAATACAAATTTATCTTTTGTTTTTAAATAAAATGAAACAAATAAAATAAATAAAATAATTTCCTTCCCAATAAGTTTATCAAAAGCAACCATCATGCCGTTGTTGCCACCACCACAATCAAGCACAAAATGACCGAAATGAATTAGAGCTTTTCTCAATCTCCAAAAATGATAAAAATGAGTTGGGGTGGTGGGGCTGCAACCAGGAGGAAATGGGTGAAGACGGTGATTAGTGTTTTATTTTTTTAAATATTTGTTTTGTTGGAGGTGCACCATTAGCCTGATTTACTTTTAAGGCTTGTGATCGGTTTCCTTTATTAAAATGGCATGTTCAAGTCTCAGACTGATCCAATAGTAAGTTGACAAATAATGTTAGGAGGGATTGACTTTTCCATTTACCAAAGATTAGGAACAAACATAAGACAAGACATTTGTAAGGACATGAACTCTACTTTTGTCAAAATTGGGACTACATATGCAATTTATCCTAATTTCAGTCCACGAATAAAACTAACAGTCATTTCGGACGAAATCCATCAAAAAGGTCCATCTGTGCCAAAAATGAATAGTTTGGGACATTATTGTCATGATTTAAAAGTTCAGAAGCAAAAAATGCAAGATGGGTAAAGATTTGGGCGCATTTATATCAATTTCCCTATAATATTTTCTATTTCATAATTTTTCCCTTATGAAAAAGAAAAAGTTAGATTCGTATTATAATAATCTTTAACCAACAAAGGTCTAGGTGATTAAAGTTTAGATATGAAGTTAAAAAAATAAAAATTGTCATCTAACTTGTAGAAAAATTCATCACTTGTCTTTATTTTGTTCTAATAGATTGTAAAAGTTATCAATTTATTACATCATCATCATCAATCTGATTTGTAATATTCAAGAAAATTCGTACATGACTAATTAAAAATGGTTACACGTTGTGAGTGGCAATACCTTGTTAATTTTAAAAGTTGAATCTCCACATCAAAAACTAGAAATAATGCTAACCAATAACTCGTAAACAAACTTAGCAACTCAATCAAATTAATGTGCAAAAAGTATCAGAAAATGAATGAATAAATTAATCTTGTAAGTATACGTTTACATGGTACCCAACATTATACCGTCAAAAAAGTAAAATCTAACATCTCATTACAATACTTTCTATATCAAAGTCGAACATGATTTAGTGGTAGGATCAAATAAAGCCGGAACCAAATATTTTCTTCCATTGACACCATTTGCATTGTAGCTAGCACCGGTCGTGGGGTCCACTAGCAAGTCCCCGGCGTAGCCCGGGTAGGCCCCTTTAGCATAGACCCCAGGGCAGGCCGAGGCAGCCTCCAATGGTGCATCAGATGGGCCCTGGTAGTACCCATTTCCGAATGGGTTGGTGGCAGTCCCAGCTAAAAGGCTAGCCAAGTTGATAACCATGCCGTCCAAGCCCACATCATTGTTGGGTGCAACTAATGGTGGGCTCTGTGGGCCGTAAATGGGCTGGTGGAATGGCCAGGCACATTGACCCGGGCACTGGGTCTCCGAGTTACCAACCCAGATGTAGGCAAACTTGCTGTGATTTTTTCCTTTTCACGAGGGCAGTCTTGGAAGCTACAGAACCATGGGTTCCGCATCTACTGGAACAGAAACCTTCAACTGCGACGTCGGCTGAAGTCAAGACTACATTAATGGCGTTCGTTTGATCACCCTTTGCTGCCAATTGTTGTACTTGCTGCATTGTGAGTGATTTACCCAGTGAGCATTTCTCGTCAGAGATTTGATTGCCTAAGTCCAGTTGTAGGGAAGACGATTTCTTGGATTTGATCAAGTGATAGTACTTCTCTGTAGCTCCCCACCATTTAGAAACAGAAGGTTGAGCCTCAGATTTTGAAGACGATAACGAGGCAATGAAATCAGATATTATGGCTTTCTGAGATGGCTTGAAATTTCCATACCAGATGAGATTGACGGTGATCTTGCCAGTAAGAAGTGGGCCCTTGTGGTATTTGAAAAGCATAGGATCTTGATTTTCCAATATTCTTGCTGCAGAAGCAAAACCGATCACCAAAAATATAGATATCAAGATCGTATTGATGGAGTAACTGGCTGCCATTTTCAATTGGGATTTGATATGAACAGAAAAGTGGTAGAAAATATTTATAATTTCTTTGTTTTCGAGAGGATTTGATGGTGGAAATAGAGAGCTGAGGCAATTCTTTATATAGGGAGTATGGACTCAGATCAGAACAGAGGAAGGCTCAACGAAGGAGACAAGAATTTAGAATGTGCCAGCCTTGATATTATTGGATTGGATACGCGTTTTCACTTTAATGAATTCATGAGTTTTTTAAATAAAGTTGGGAGTTGACCCCACGAAATAAAAACATTATGTGCCAGCCAGCATAGATTTGAGGAAGGGACTACCTCTAAATATTTATGATCTGCTTGATTTCCATAAAGTCAACCTAATATTCAAATTACCACAAGTTGCAAGAGCTTAAAGATCAAAGTCTAGTTCAAGTGATGAGAATGAAGTTTTTACCATATTAGTAAATAGTAATTTGAGTTCGATTCTCAGTTCGATTACCATATTAATAAATATAAAATCTTGAAAAACTACATTTCATTTGATCTAATCATACTTTTCTGTGATCATAAACCAACTAAAGTATCTTTTTATAAATTACATGATGTTGGTATAGTTGTTTGTTAATCTTTGTTTTCTCATTTGCAATTTTGAAATAATAATAAATTCCACTAAAATTACAAGAATTAATAAATACGATATAAATTCAACTTTCAATTTGTTCGTTTGAGATTGGGTGCAAGTTCGGGAAAAAAAAAATAATAGTTGTTGGAGTATAAGTCGTAGGTTCAATGCAACGTGTAAATAAAATTATAAATCCTACAAAATACATTGATAAAAATATTATGTAATGAACTTATAAATTTGAATAAACTTCACAGAACCTGCTCTAAAATTGTCCAAAGGACTCATTTTATGACAAATATTCAAAATATTTTGAAATCAAGTTGCATGCATGCTTGCACGTACACCGAACACTAGAAATTAGAGCAACTTTAATATATATATATATATATATTCAAGCTGTCGCCTACGCTGTATAGTCAAAGCAACAAACTATAATTAATTAAAACATTAGCTGATGGTTGGCCGAAAGGAATGAAATTTTGTCTCCTTCCATACCGTCCTCAAATGCTGTTGGCCAAACATAATTTCATTTTGTTTTAATTAAAAAACGCGTTATCAAGCTGTATTTTAAGTGAACTCTCTCTCTCTCTCTCTCTCTCTCTAAATAAATATACACTTCAAGGTTGTATTTGAGATTTTTTTCCCTGTCAACTTTGAATTGGGGATAAGGAGATTAGGTTGTGGTTTTAGGCAAAAACTGTCAAATTGAAATATCAAATTTAACGAAAACCAATTGCAAAGTTAGGAGGGGGACAGCGGGAAGTCGACACTCAATAATGTCAAAGTTTATATCACATGTAACTTTCACATAACTAAATACTTATTTACGAGTGTTTACATTTTTAATTAAGTAACATCTCCTATAGAATGTGTGGATAAAAATCAAGTAATAAGTTGTGGATTCATAGAATATGTATATAATGTAGATTTGATCCGTTCAAGATATAATTTAAACTGTGCCAAAAATGTACTTAAGTTGAAGGATAAAACTGTCAAATAACTTAATATTCTTCTAATTTTAACATTCTCCTCACTAATTTTTCCTCATTTGGTAACACTGTATAAATATTAAATAGGTTGATGATTAACTTTATAAGTTAGAGAACGGTTTCCGCACTGTTTAAAAGTTGGGTAGCCGAACTCTAATTTTCTCTACGAATAAATACCATTAAATTTTTGGGGGTAAGCCCATCCTCATATCTATGCTGGCATACAATGTTTGTTCCTGGGGTCAACACCCAACTTCACTTTAAAAAACTCACGAATCCATTAAAGTGAACAACGCGTTATTACAAGCTGGCATTTACTGCCTCCAAAATTCTATCACCTTCTTCCTCGAACCGTCCTCTTTTATGATTGAGTCCCTATATAATGAACCGCCTCAGCTCTCAATTTCCACCATCAAATCCTCACGACAACAAAGAAATTATAAATATTTTCTACTGCTTTTCTGTTCATATCAAATCCCAATTGAAAATGGCAGCCAGCTACTCCATCAATACGATCTTGATATCTATATTTTTGGTGAACGGTTTTGCTTCTGCAGCAAGAATATTGGAAAATCAAGATCCTATGCTTTTCAAATACCACAAAGGCCCACTTCTTACTGGCAAGATCACCGTTAATCTCATCTGGTATGGAAATTTCAAGACATCCCAGAAAGCCATAATATCTGATTTCATATCCTCATTATCATCTTCAAAATCTGAGGGTAAACCTTCTGTTTCTAAATGGTGGAGAGCTACAGAGAAGTACTATCAACTGATCAAATCCAAGAAATCATCTTCCCTACAACTGGTATTAGGCAATCAAATCTCTGACGAGAAATGCTCATTAGGTAAATCACTCACAATGCAGCAAGTACAACAATTGGCAGCAAAGGGTGATCAAACGAACGCCATTAATGTAGTCTTGACTTCAGCCGACGTCGCAGTTGAAGGTTTCTGTTCCAGTAGATGCGGAACCCATGGTTCTGTAGCTTCCAAGACTGCCCTCGTGAAAGGAAAAAATCACAGCAAGTTTGCCTACATCTGGGTTGGTAACTCGGAGACCCAGTGCCCGGGTCAATGTGCCTGGCCATTCCACCAGCCCATTTACGGCCCACAGAGCCCACCATTAGTTGCACCCAACAATGATGTGGGCTTGGACGGCATGGTTATCAACTTGGCTAGCCTTTTAGCTGGGACTGCCACCAACCCATTCGGAAATGGGTACTACCAGGGCCCATCTGATGCACCATTGGAGGCTGCCTCGGCCTGCCCCGGGGTCTACGCTAAAGGTGCCTACCCGGGCTATGCCGGGGACTTGCTAGTGGACCCTACAACCGGTGCTAGCTACAATGCGAATGGTGTCCATGGAAGAAAATATTTGGTTCCAGGTCTATATGATCCTACCACTAAATCATGTTCAACTTTGATATAGAAAATATTGTAATGTGATTTTAGGTTCTATTTCTTACACCGGCATGGTGTCAGGTACAATGTAAACCTATACTACATATAGAGATTCTATTCATTTTTTTTTAATTTAAATAATATTTTGTCCTCATTGATAGAACTTGATTCCTTCAAATTTTTAAGTCCATTTATGAATTTAGATTAGCATCTGATGTGTACAAAAATTATAGCCCGATCACCAACTTTCAAGTATGACCCGAGGTCAATACCTCGAACACTCTCGTCTTTAAATATCCTCTAAAAAGTGGTCGAGCCTCTTAGAAGTCGGGCCTAATAATCTGGCCCTGCTAAGGTCAGGCCCACATGCTAAAATATTGTCCTCGTCTCGAGTCTTTTTACGTGTTTTAGTCCTCTTATAACTCAATTACTCTATTTGATGAGGATAAGGACTCTAAATGGTTGAATCCTTCTACAACTCAACCACCAACGTCTATAAATACAAGACCTAGCCCCATTATTTAGGTATGTTTTTACAATACAATTACAATACATACTTTTACATAATTTCCTCGTCTGACTTAAGTATCGGAGGGGCGACGAGAACACACCTCGTTGCCTTTGTTTCAGGTACTGGAAGGCTCCGTTCGTGCTTGATCCTAGTCCTTAATCTCGAGAAATCAACAGGTTCAATTTTTGACATCATCATTGGCATCGTCTGTGGGAATTCGGTACAACAACCATGCTTTTACCACATCAAAAAGCCACGGCAAAAGATATATCTTCTAATCAGTCTTCTGGTTGAAATTGGAAAAGGCATCAATCAAGAATGGACTTAATTTTCTCTCTACAAGAAGGGTGATTTTTGCCTCCTTATGCATTCACCGCACTTATCACCCGTACCACCACCTTGCCGCCCCCTTGCCACAATGAAATTGTCCTCTACACCGATGTCCTCTCACAAAAAACACAATCCAACAAATAACCAATCCAAATATTCAATCTAAAGGCAGAAATTGGTGCAAATTTGCCTCGATCTGCGTATCCTATACAAATCGATTCCACCACTTCCGGCAACACCCATGGCCGTCCACCACCTATCATCTCCCATCATCTATACTACCATCCTAATGTATTAACACCACTAATAAATAAATAAAAAAAAAGAAGAAGCCAAGTTAGCACGCACAATGAGGGAGTAGCGCCTTTTCCAATTGTACGGGTCCTCCGTCATTTTTCCACCAAATTATCGCTATTCGAGCATCCAGCATCCTCATACGACCTTGGGTATGCATTCAATTGATTCGATTCGGCCTCTAATCGATCCAATTTTTCAAATCAATTCTGTCCCAATTCGCTTGCCAAACGTGACTGTCATGTCCTCTTCAATTGATGGATCTTGCACCATTATTCAACCTAATTGCCAACAACCAAATGCTCAGCTATCATACGACCATGGGTGTGGAACCAATTGAAGCAAAGTCAACCACCAAGAAAGAGGAAAAATGCCACTAGAAGAATCATCGCAACTTTTCAGCTAGCCGTCCCCTTTGATGTCGTTTCTTGAAGTTCTATCCTTAAAAAAAAACTTCGCACTGGATTTGAAAAAAATGAATGCTCAGAAAGATAAAACCTGTTAAGGTTTTGATGTGCACACAAGTTGTTTGAGAAAACGTCCAAGAAAGTTCAAATTTCTAGTAATGAAAATTAAGGTAACTGTTGTTCAATACAGCCTCCGGCAGTCATCGTTGAGACCACCTTCAGTAGCCACTATATTCGGTGACCTATGGTAGATTCGAAAGTTCTCACCGAAGTGGATAGTAGCTTTGATGATGGCAAATGAACACGACTACCCCTTTTTCTCTTCTATTTCTGCTTCAGAGGTTATTTTACATACCTGACTTGTGGAGGACATGGAGCTTTCGACCGTGACTAGAGGTAGAATAGAAGAATGGTGAGGTTGTTTCAAAAATATTGCAGTTGGAGACAGAGCTTAGCTGTTGCCGATAATTTTGAAAATACTATTGGAATCAAATCAAAAAGGGAGTATGCCAATATTTCGGTGGAGTTGGGCCACTAGTTCTTAAAGTAATTTTAGAATATGTTTAAAGCTGGTGTGAGTAACATACTTTTCACATAGCATGCTGGGAGACTAATTGCTTTGAGAATAATGCTCTTTAGGTGGTTGGTTTAAAAACCAACTGGATTTAATAACAATTTTTAATATGATTAATTTGAATCTGCATGATAATAACTCCTTTAGTGCATTACCTGATTATTTTGGAGGCATGTTAACTGTGCAGATCTTAAATTCAGCAGACAAAAACTTCAATGCAGTTACTCGAGTTGGTTGCGCCTCACTCGTTGCATTTATTTAGGCTATCTTTGCATGCCTATTTATTTTCGAAGCTGCCTCCAGGATTTATTTTCCATGTGAACTTTTGTTGGCTTATATACACATCTTCTATGATCATTGGCTTGAGTTTAATGAGGTCATCATCTGGGAAAAATAAATCTGCCACAACTTGAAATGAATGAATATTTAGGCTCAAAATGCCAAATCGATGTTAAATGAGGAAAATAATTTCATTTGGTTGCCAGCGTGACCTCTTGAGGATATGCCAACTGTGCTTCAATTATTAAATTCTCAAGGCCAGTATTACAACTTGGGCAGAAAACTATGACCATGCATACCAAGTGTTCAACAGAAGGTCCCATTGATATTTTCTCTTATTCAGAGCCCTTTTAATCATCATTATTATTCGAGGACCTTACATTATTGAAGACGAGATGAGCTCATGATTCTCTTATCTATTGGAAGCGAGCCTTAGCTCGTGATTTTCTTATCATTGAAGGCGAGCCTTAGCTCGTGGTTTTCTTATTATCGAAGGCGAGCCTTAGCTTGTGTCTTTCTCATTATTGAAGACAAGCCTTGCTCTGCGCAGGCACACAAAGCTCTGTCCTGCACAGGCACCACAAAGCCTTGCTCCGTGTAGGCACCTAAAGCCTTGCTTCGGGCAGGCACACCAAAACCTTGTCCAGAGCAGGCACCACAAAGTTCTGTCCCGCACAGGCATCAAAAGCCCTGTCACGAGCAGGCACATCAAAGCCCTGCCCCAAGTAGGCACCTCAAAGCCCTGCCCCGAGCAGGCACCAAAGCCCTGCCCCAAGTAGGCACCTCAAAGCCCTGCCTCAAGCAGGCACCAAAGCCCTGTCACGAGCAGGCACATCAAAAGCTTTGCCCCGCGCAAGCACCAAAGCCCTATCACGCGTAGGCACCTAAGTCTTGTCCCACGCAAGCACCTTTAAGTCTCACAATGCATCAAGTAAAAAACCCGACCATGGTCTATCCTGAGCTTGCCAGGCTTGACCTATTCTCAAATTCATCAAAGCAAAGATCGGAATATTATTTCACGTTCGACTCAAGGGCCTATCCTTGAGCTCAACGCATTGTCAAAAACCCAACCACAAGAGCGAGGGATATTATTTCACATTGGACTCGGGCTATGTTCTGGAGCTCAAATTATTGTCAAACCCTAGCCAACAGGCTTGAGATAAATATATTCAAAATAGGATTGAGCTTCCAATTAGCCTCCTATATGAAACTTTGTCTATTCGTCAAACTCATTACTTCCAAAACTTTTAACAAAGCTCAAGGTCGAGCTCATTCTTTTCAACTTCTAAACAAGGTAGAGGTCAAGCTCTTTCACTTCAAGTATTGATAAAGCTTGAGGTTGAGCTCATTCATGCCAAATTCTTTTACAAGGTCGAAGTCGAGCTCAGTTTTCTCAAAAATTTCAACAAGGGCAGGATCAAGTCCTTTCTTTCAAAATTTCTAATAAGCCTTAAGATCGAGCTCATTCCTTTCAAATTTTAAATAGTCAATACTTGCTATCCTAGACCTATGTGCTCGGGGGCCTAACAACTCGACATGAGCATGCCTATTCTAGAACTTAATATACTTATGCATCTCAAGCCAGAAACTCTCACATTGCGCATGAGCTCCTGACACGAATGCACGGGGGCCTATGATGTGTACAAAAATTATAGCCCGATCCCGAACTTTCAAGTATGACCCGAGGTCAATACCTCGACCACTCTCGTCTTCAAATATCCTCTAAAAAGTGGTCGAGCCTCTTAGAAGTCGGGCATAATAATCTGGCCCTGCTAAGGTCAGGCCCACATGCTAAAATATTGTCCTCGTCTCGAGCCTTTTTATGTGTTTTAGTCCTCTTATAACTCAATTATTCTATTTGATGAGGATAATGACTCTAAATGGTTGAATCCTTCTACAACTCAACCACCAACGTCTATAAATACAAGACCTAGCCCCATTATTTAGGTATGTTTTTACAATAAAATTACAATACATACTTTTACATAATTTCCCCGTCTGACTTAAGCATCGGAGGAGCGATGAGAACACACCTCGTTGCCTTTGTTTCAGGTACTGGAAGGCTCCGTTCGTGCTCGATCCTAGTCCTCAATCTCGAGAAATCAACATGTACAATTTTTGACATCATCATGTACAATTCTTGTATGATTCGGTCATCCACGACCTCATGCTCAAGATCTAATAAGCTTAAGCACTCTCCTAGGGCTAGAACATTCTCGAGTTTATGTGGTCGGGCTCAAAATCACTCTCTCTCCAGGTCAGAACATTCTCAGGCTCGTTACACTCCTGAACATATCATGTCCCTCACTATCATTTTTTCCTTAATTTTTGTAAGGATATTCCCAATTTCGGTATCTCAGGGATCACTCACCGACGAGTGAGCTCAAGGTATTTTGACGTGTCTTTGGTCATCGGGGTTGAGGCTACTCCGAATGGTGTGCATAACCTCGAGGAGCTGATTCAGGTCCATTAATGAAATCACTGATGTTGTTAATCTAATAGGATTCTAACATCAATGTTTCATGCTCATCCAAATACTCTATCTTACAACTCCAATCAAATTACAACTTCTAGGTATGGAAATACTCCCAAACACTTCACGACTCTTTAATCAGATAAGGATGCTCAATTACTTATCCTACGAGGATTACACTATTTAATCCTACTAGGAGTGTACTACCAGTCTACCACCACTATAAATGCAAAGCCTTGGATCATAAATTAGGTACGCTTTTTGCATTCAATTTAAAGCCTTATGCTTATATTTTTTCCTCTCGCTAACTAAAAGCATTGGAGGAGCAACGAGGTCGTTGCTCATTAACCATCAGGAAATGTCACACTACAGCTCAGTTTTAACACATGGATCCCGTTTTCCCAAGAACACAAGTAGTGAAATAATACGCCATTGGATTAAAAACAAAAAGTAAAAAATTATAAGCAAAGTACAAAGGTAAAAGCACTTAGTAAATAAAAATCATATTTTTAGTAGATTTTGATTAAAATTAATGGAATTTGTAATTGAAAAGTTGTAAATTGCATAAAATATATTGTTAACATTTAAACGTTGACTTAGACTTACATCTTAATCAACTTTTTAACTGAACCAAACAAGCGCTAAAAATAAAATAAGACAGTGGAACAATCATATTGTTTCTACCTAGACACGAGGAGTGAACAAAATTGACAGCTTGGCTCTCGTACTTTCATTGGTTAACTTTGTCGGAGCCAATGGTTAAGTTTTTGTTGGAATTTTGGCAAGGTTTTTCCCCCCTTCTTGGAGAGGTTTGGATTTGTTTAGTAGCCAAATTGTGTAGCAAGAAGAAAGGAAGGGAGATTCCGACGTTAGTTTGGTCGGAAAGCGCTCCTCAATGGGAAAATTTTAGCGTTTACAAGAGTGCCAATCTTAATTTCGCTTAGATCTAATGCAATTTTTTTGGAGCGTGGAAGTTTAGATCTTAAAATTTTCAATCATTTTTTAGTTGTGCAGATGACCCTATTTATAAACTTTTTTTAAGAGCTTTTTAATTAGTTTTTATGAATTGAAATTTTTATTATTGTGTTGGAAGTCATGATTAAATCTGATTTTCAATATTTTGTTAAAATTTGTGTTTTTTGTAGCATTTGTTAAGTAATTCGTTATGTGCACACATGAGTTTATTGCACCGAATTATATGTTGATCATATTAGATTTCACTCTAAAGTTTTTGTCAACATTAGAGCATTAGTCCAAGGACTTCGAACCTTTTTATGGCCGAGGTCTCTAATCGTGTATTAGCCAAGTGTTATGATTCTACACATTTCAGCGCTAAATGGTATTTCAACAATTGAGGCATCTTTCATCTCAAATGTGCCTTTTACAGTCCATGTGCAAATATTCATGGACATGTGGGCATGTAATGAACTCTTTTGTGGTTGACTTAGGGTCTTAATAAATAGTACTCAAAATTTTGTTATCATCATTACTCTTGAATGTCAATCTGACAAGATTAAATATTTTAAATACAATGATTTAGCAAGATCATATTCTCTCATTTTTAAAACTGACACAGAAATACTTTTTTCAATCTTGCAAGGCTGTTAGGGAGGATTTGACACCTTTCCTAATAGCCCCCTCACAATAGGGGGGAAGGGGGCTAGAATTTCTATCTTTTTAATTCATATATCCAAAGTGGATCCCAACGCATGTGAGAGAACGTCAAGCAGCATGTCAAATTTTTTCTACCAAACCAATTTAATTCTACTTTTTCTTTGGTTAAAGATCACTTGTCTACTAAGGGGAGTCTAGGCCTCCCCTATTGTGATTGTGATTTAACAACCACTTTAGTCCCTACATGTTCTAATCGACTATATTTTATGTACAAATTCAATATTCCATCAAGGGCGATCACATACATTAGTTTTATTACATTAGTTAAACTAACATTAATGGAAGGAGCATCTCACGTGGGGTGAAATAAAATTAAAAAGTATGAAAGTAATATGAAATTGCTTTATGAGGCAAAAAATGAATGAATCAATGAATTACAGTATAGATTCAGCGTGTACATATCCAACTAAATATTATACCAAAGTATAACATTTAGAAGTAGATGGATCATATAGTGCACGAAGCAAGTATTTCCTTCCATTAGCACCATGCGCATTAAAGCTAGCTCCAGTAGGAGGGTCCACCAACAAGTCCCCAGCATAACCTGGGTAAGCCCCTTTAGCATAGACTCCAGGGCAGGCCGAGGCAGCCTCCAATGGAGCAGCAGATGGGCCTTGATAGTACCCATTTCCAAATGGGTTGGTAGCAGTCCCAGCTAAAAGGCTTGCCAAGTTAATAATCATCCCATCCAGGCCCACATCATTGTTGGGCGCAACCAATGGTGGGCTCTGTGGGCCGTAAATGGGCTGATGGAATGGCCATGCACAGTATCCAGGACATTGAGTTTTCGAGTTGCCAACCCAGATGTAGGCAAACTTGTCATTCTTCCCTTTCACAAGGGTACTTTTGGAACCGTGAGATCCACACCGGTTCAAGCAGAACCCGTCAACAGTAACATCCGAGGATGTAAGTACAACGTTAATTGCAATGGTGGGCTCTGTGGGCCGTAAATGGGCTGATGGAATGGCCATGCACAGTATCCAGGACATTGAGTTTTCGAGTTGCCAACCCAGATGTAGGCAAACTTGTCATTCTTCCCTTTCACAAGGGTACTTTTGGAACCGTGAGATCCACACCGGTTCAAGCAGAACCCGTCAACAGTAACATCCGAGGATGTAAGTACAACGTTAATTGCATTCTTCTGTTCGCCCTTTGATGCTAACTGAATAATTTGTTTCTGTGTGAGTGATTTTCCAAGTGAGTAGTTTTCCACAAGAACTTGTTTACCCAAATATAGTGCGAGTGTAGAGGATTTCTCAGAGTTCACCAAATGGTAATATTTCTCGGTGGTCTTCCACCATGTGGCAACCGTCGGTTGGCTTTTGGCGGTGGCCGGAGATGACAGAGAGATAATGAAATCAGCTACAATAGCTCTTTGGAATGGGTTGAATTTGCCATACCATATGAGATTGACAGAAATTTTGCCACTGAGAAGTTGGCCTTTGTGGTATTTTAAGAGCTGGTTTTGGACCAAAGAGGTAAGCATTCTTGAAGAAGCAAAACGCACATTGAAAAGAGATATTATAAAGAAAAGCTTAACAATGAAAGAAGCCATTGTTTTGGTGATTTAAGATGGTGAAATGGATGTGGGTGTTAGGCAGCAACCTTCCATTCCAGTTCCCAATTCTCATAAAAGTACCGGCAATGTTGATTGATATTAGCAATGATGAAGGCTCCAAATCTGCCATATGTCCAGCATGGCAATAGGATTATCTGTAGGAATTATTTACTGTAATTTTGCTACATTAGAGGATGTGAATGTTTCAAATCTGTAAATATTGCTCCTATAAATATGTAGTAAACATATAGCTTTGGTATGATTTACCAAGCCCTTCTTATCATTTCTTTCATGGTATCAGAGTCATATTTGGCTAACGTCTAATCCTACCTACAATAATGTCTTCCGCTACTACATTCATTCCACCTAACAATCTTGTTCAGTTTGTCTCGGTGAGACTTGATGGACCATCATCTTATTTAAACTGGTCTTCCCAAGTCGAAGGTGCCCTTGATATCCATGGTCTTCTGGGTTTTGTGGATGGTACTGAACCATGCCCAGAAGAGTTCCTACCTGTTGTAGGGACTGCTGCTCCTATTTCTAATCCGGAGTTTATCATATGGAACAAAAAAAAATCGATTTGTATTAGTGTGGATGAAGTCCACGATCTCAGAGAAGATACTGTCCTTAGTCTATGGTCTCAAATCTGCTCGGCAAGCATGGCTTGCTGTGACAAATCGTTATGCTTCTTCCTCATCCTCAAATGTGAATCAACTCAAACGTCAACTGCAAAGTCTACAGCAAGGAGGCAAAAGTTGTTCTGATTTTGTTGAAGGTGCTAAGGTTCTTGCAGACCAATTAGCCGCTGTGGGAAAACCCGTGACTGATGAGGACTTAATCTCTCATATTCTGGGAGGACTCAACTCATCATTCACTCCCTTCATATCCAATGTCTATTTTGCACAACGTGAGAAGTCGATTACATTAAATGATTTCCACTCTGAATTAATTGCTTTTGAAGCTTTGCTTGAAAATCAGCAGAGAAATTTGCACAATGATCACAACAACTTTGCTATGATGGCAAACAAGTTTGGAG